AAAATCAGCATTTCATAAGGTGTCTGATGTGAGGGACCAGCATTTATTTTTGTCTCCCAGTCTATCAGGGACCTATATCATATTTATGCCCTTTGGCTACCATTATTTCTTTCTTTCTCTCCTGTACTTGGTATAAGTAGCTAATAGTATGATGGCTGGCACTGGTCCAAGACATCACGTTGAGTAGCACTTTTTAAAATGATGTAATGCTGTTGTAAATTGTGGATATTTTAACAAGTTAATTTAATGTTTGTTCCTTTAAAAACCAAACATTTTTACAATATCAAGTTTTTAATTTATTTGGTTTTTAACTGTGTTGTAAGCTGCCTTACTAGGTACCCATGAAAAACCCTTCAGCAACACATGAGTGTCAGGCTGGATCTTTCAGCTACACTTCCTCTCATGTTTTTTCATTTGAATTTATGAAGAGGTATAGAAATTAATGAAGACACATGGTGTCATGGTTTGAGTGTTGGACTATGACTCTGGGAGACCAAGGTTCAAATCCTTGCTTACCCCCCACCAGCATTAAGTTATGCTGCTGCCAGGTTGTCTCTATTCATAGTTTTTTGTGGGTTTTTCAGGCTGTGTGGCCATGTTTCAAAACTCTTCTAGAACATGGCCACACAACCCAGAAAACCCACAAAAAACTATGGATGCTGGCCATGAAAGCCTATGACTTCACATTGTCTCTATTCACTTTCACATCATATAGACACCTTGAATCCCATAATGGGAGAAAAGTGGAATATAAATGAATTGATTAAATATAATACCACCTCCTATTGTCCATGTCCTGCTTTAATAACAAAAAATCTCCATATGTGGTAACCTCTCCATGAGAATTGCTCCTACCCCTGGAACATTTTGGATGCCCAGCATTAAAGCAGCTGTAACCTTACAAACAATTGGCCACATAAGGAAGTCAATTCCAAAAAATCTGTCACATTTAAAGTGACCAGGAAGGACATTTCATTATAGTACTATGCAGTCCATATTGCTGAATAAGTAATATTTTCAGCTAAGAGCACCTAAACTATAATTGAGTATCAAAGTAGCTATCTTAGGGCATTTTCCTAATGGGAAAGTATAAGAACTCAAAATTTATAAGCAATAGGCAATATCCTTGGTAAATAGAGACACTTAGGCATATGTATGAAAATGAAAGCTTGTTAAACATATTCCAGAGAATTGTTTGATTGTGAAACTTGCAGGGAAGAAGAAGATCTGAGGTTCTCTCTGTCCATGTGTTTTTCTTTCATTCTAATTCTTCTTTTAGAAGAATTCATATTTACTTGCAAGTCATCTTTAATTTACCTATATTCAGAAACAGCAGGGGAGAGGAGGAAAAGAGAAAGGTAGGAAAGCTTCAAAAGCTATGTCAGGGAAAGATGAATGCTTGATTTTTGATGTAAGATAAAAGACAAGGATTTTTCATTTATTTTGTTAATTATAAATACAATGAGCAAAGGAGACGGAAGTATTTAATTATTTCGTTTCTTCCAGGAGTATGTGATGCATATCTTAAACTATAGCCTTTGGAGTGGATTGAAATCTTTTTAAGCAGATTGACTGTAATATAGTCATCAGAGAAGAAGGGAAGTCTTGAGGTGAGCATCCTGCTTTTAAAAAATGAGTTGAAAATCTATAATATGACTTTTAGCAATAGCAATAGCAAGTACATTTTTATACTGTTTATCAGTGAACTAGCACTCCTTGAGAGGTTTACAGTGTGTAAACCAATTGCCCTCAACAATCTGGTTCTCATTTTACTAACCTACGAAAAGATGGAAGACTAAGGGCCAATGCAGATTCGTCGTTTGGGGCAACACAGAGCTGTACCAGGAAGAGGTGGATCGGGGCAGCAGCAACCCCATGCCGTGGCCCCAATCCTCCATTTTTCCACCCCCAAAAGAGCAGCAAAATGCATCTCCTTTTAGGGGCAACAAAAGGCTGCCCTAAGAACTGGCACCGCGGCTCTTCAGTGTCTTTTCAGTGCAGCTTGTTTAAATGCTGCACTGGAAGGGCATCCTGATGCCATGCACTGTATGGATTGCCGTGCAGCATCAGGATACCATTGGGGTGGGTTTGGGGTGGCTGGCGTGCAGCTGCCCTTCCCCAACCCTACCCCCAGGCCAGCCCTTTGGGCCAGTCTACAATGGCCCTTTGTGGACCTTAGATTCCTTTTCTAGGATCAAACTTACAATGATGTGGCTGCAGTACCAGCATTTAAACACTGTGCCACCAGGGCTCCCTCCACTGCACCACCAAGGCACCAGGACTTTTGATGGTCTGATTGATAACTTCTTTAAATTTTTGTATCCTTGTCTCATGCCTGTAGATGATGAAAAAAACCTGGAGACTCAAGGTCAAGCCCTGAGATTTGGCAACCCTAATGTGTTTCCTTCCCCCTCTTCCTTTATGTAGCCCTTCTCGCTCCTGTTGTAACCTTTATTGTGTTTAGTTTTTGTATTTGCTACAGGATTATAGGAGTTGAAAGGGACCCCAAGGGTCCTCTGGTCCAACCTCCTGTCAATGCAGGAATCCACAGACAACCATTTGTGAGACATGGCCATGCAATTTGTTAGAAACTTCCAATGAAGGTGAATCCACCAACCTCTGAGGTAGTCTAGTCCATTGTCAAAAAGCTCTTCCCCTCAGCAAGTTCTCCTCTGAATCTCCTTTCTTATAATTTGATTCTATTGGTTCAGGCTTCATCCTTTAGAGGAACAGAAAATAAGCTCACTACATCTTTTTTTTACATGATAATCGTTTGGATATTAAAAGATCACTATTCTATCAGCTCTTATTCTTCTCCAGGGTAAATAGATCTAACTCACTTCACCGATCCTCACAGGGCTTCCATTTTGTTGTTATTCATTTAATTTTATTTTTGTAATTTAAGATTTCTTTTGGACACCTTGGATGTTATATCTGATCTAGAAATGACATAGATAAACAAACACATACATTGCCCTGTCAATGGTAATGATGCAGTGTGGAGGCAATAAAATATACATCATAACACAGTGTAATGAGCCATGTTTGTGTTTCTCTTTGAAGATGGAAGAGAGGGGGGCGAGATATCACTTGTATTATAGACTATTAAAGCAATTCTAAGGGCCTTTGCAGACTGCCAGAAATAATGCAAATTGAGTCTACTTTAAGGGATAGGGTTAGGTTATCATGTGAACTGCATTTTATTGTGGCACCAGAGTTCTCTGACAGAGAAGGTTCAATGTCTCAGAAAAAAACCAAAAACAATTCCCATGATTCCCTAGCACTAAACCTAACCCTTAAAGTGGACTCAATTTGCACTATTTCTGGCAGTCTGCAAAGGCCCTAAGGCTAGTGTTCAAAGAATATGATGGCCTCTCATTGCCAAATGTGAGAAAACTATTAAATGGTCTGTCCTTGCAAGCTTATGGATTCTGATAGAGTTGTGAGGTTTCTGAGGGCTATTCCAGCTGATATGGTTGGTCTTTCTTACAAATCCATAGTTGCTATCTGGTATTGGGAGGCATTGCATGCAACGCAGAGACTTTTCTCCTCTGCACGCGTTGCGTCTGAAGAGTCTCACCCAGCAGAGCTGTTTAGGGTGGTGAGGAAACTGACACAGGTACCTCCTATGCAGAACCCTCTACTTAACCCTACAAAGGCCTGCTGTGATGCTTTTAACATCTACTTTGCACATAAAATTTCTTGAATAAGAGCTGACCTGGATGCCAGTGTTTGGCAGAATCCATAGATGAGGTGTCCAGCAACTCCTTTCATGGCATTTTACTGGATCAGCTTCAATCTGTGAGTACTGATGACCTGGGCAAGCTCCTTGGTACAGTGAGGAAGACGACCTGCCCTCTCTATCCTTGTCCATGTTGTCTGGTCATCCAGGTGGGAGACGCGTTGAGGGTATTCCTTCGGGATACCATAACACTTCTTTCAGGGGAGGCACTGTTCCATCTTGTTTAAAGGAGGTGGTGGTCAAACCCCTCCTGAAAAA